CAACCCCAACAACAACCAGTAGTACCATTGCAACAACCACAGCAGCCTCTACAGCCAGGAGGAAACTCATTATCTGTTTCTGCTGTTCCTCCGGCCGCTGGTACTGGAGCTGGTATGGGAGTATCATCATTACAGCAATCCCAACAACAACCAGCAGTACCATTACAACAACCACAGCAGTCTCTACAGCCAGCAGGAAACTCATTATCTGTTTCTGCTGTTCCTCCGGTCACTGGTACTGGCGCTGGTATGGGAGTATCATCATTACAGCAATCCCAACAACAACCAGCAGTACCAGTAGCAGCGCATTCTACGGGAGGAGCTGCGGGTTCCTCTCCTGAACCAACGCCTGCTGATGTGATTAACGTGCTGCGAGAAAAGCTTCTTTTGGAGAAGGCTGATGCTTATGTGCGAAACTTAGAACAACAGAGAGAGGAAGAAGAACGACTCTCTCGTGAAAGGGAAGAGCGTCTTTTATTCTATAAACAAGGAGAGATGGTGGCACTCTTGACTCGTCTACGGCAGGAGGATCATGAAATGTTGGAAGCCATGTATGAAACAATTACGCACAAAGAAGAAGTGGTGGGGGCTCCACATATTTCACATCCCATCATTTATCAACAACAACAACAACAAAAACAAGAGACTTCTTCTCGCCCGTCAACAACAATGCACACGTCTGGATCGCAAAATGTACCACTGTTTCCACCAGGAGTGATGGCAGCCTATAGTGCAGATGTAAGCAAAGTACCCCCATCACAGTCAGAACTCAAAGAATCACAACAACAAGAACAGAGACAATCAATCTACAGTATACCACCGCCGTTACAAACTCCATCTGCTGTACCATCATCATTATTATCACAAGCACAAAAGGAAACAGTCACAGTAAAAGGGCAAGAACAACAACCACAGCCATTACCACCACCGCCAGTTATTAATAGACCAACACCCCTACAACCTCCATCTACAACAACTCCGCCAATATCACAGGTGAGATCTGAAGAACCAAAACGAGATGTATCCGTTTCCGTAAATACAGTGGATTCCCCATGGGACGCAACAGATGGTTCAATGAAGGCATGGGTAGATCGACACTTTGGTTCCACACTGGATCCACAGCATCGTGCCCTTCTTCATCATGTATTACTCTCAAGAGAAGCTGAAATGCGGCGAGTATTGGCTGCGGAATCACAATGTAAACAGCTTGAGACGCAACTCAACGCTTTGAAAAGGCCTGATGTGTCAAGAACGGAAACAGATGGGAAAGACCCAATAAGTATGAGTCCAAGACAACATGAACAGGAGAATGAATTGACACGTGCGCTTGCTCTTTTATACGCAAAGGAGGAAGAACTTAAAGCTGTACGAAAAATTCAACGTGAACAAGAAGCAAAATTGGAGGAAGTAACCCGTTCTTGGCGGCCTCCGACAGTCCAAATATCTGGAGTTTCAACTAGCCGTGAGAAACAGCTTCAAGAAGAAGAAGAAGAACGTCGTTGGAGACAACGCTATCAATCTATTGAACAGCAACATCGCTTTAGTGTTCAACGCTTAGAAGAGCTCCAGGCGTATATTGAGCAATTACGCAGTAGTGCCCAACAGGCTGTTATGAACGTTGCCTCCTCCTCCTCATCAGCTGCGAATCTCCAACCACGTTCAACAGGTACAACGACAGTGTGGATGTCTTCTGTTAGTGGCTCAGCTCCTACATGTTGTATGGAGGAAAGAACACCATTCAACAGTGTCTCTCTTGGACAGACCTCTTCTGGAATGCAGAACTTTACATCCTTATCTAATCAGAAAACAGGGGACATGTTTACTTCAGTCCCAGAACAGCAAAAGGTATCTTTTGGTATTCCCAATAATACACCACTACCGGTGATGTCTGGTGTAAATAACTCTTCTGCAGTTCCTCCTACTGCTGCTTCTGGTGGTAATAGTGATAGTGTTGACCGTGCGACTGCACTGCAGCAATTACGTTCAGAGCTTGAGGCTGAGTGTGGACGGTTTGCAGATGAGACGCAACGCTGGCACAAGTACGTAGAGAATCAAAATGAGCGATTCTCAAATCTTCGTAAACGGTGAGGGAATTTCTTTTTCTTGTGGTTGTTCTTTTAGTGTTTATTTGTTTGTTTGTGAGGTGTTTGCTAATGTATGTGGGACATGTTACTTTTGGTGTTATCGTTCCATTTTATTTTTAATCATAGAAGAAACGAAATTGAATGGGAATGGAGTTTACGAGGAGGCGGAGCAATATATTGACCCACCTTCTCCTCTTTTTCTCTATCTTTTTTTTGTTGTTTGTGTGTAATTGTATTCTTATCTTTTTTCAGCTGTGGATTATCTCTAAATAAGGGTTGCGCTGATTTATTATTATTATTATTATTATTATTATTATTATTATTATTATTATTGTATTATCTTTTTTTTTTTGGTTTTACATCTTTGTATTCTTATGCATATGCCTCGTTTCGTTTGTGTGGGTGGCAGGTGCTTTTTTGTTGTTGTTGTTGTTGTTGTTCCACCACTCCAGTTGGCGTGCTGTGTTGTATGTATAGATCTGTAAGTGTACATATGGGTGTAATTTTCTTCTATTCCCCTCTTCTTCCAGTATCATTTTTATCACTCCAATACAATATATATATATATATATATATATATGATTAGTTTGACTACATCAGTCACTCTTACTTGTATGGATTTTCTTCTATCTCTTGATGTCTTCTCATGTATATGGTGGTGATTCCACTTTTTTTTTTTCGTGTGATTCAACTCTTCTCTCATCTTCAGATAGGCTTTCTTTTTTATTTATTTTCTTTTTTTCTTTTTTTATTGGGTGGGTGGACACAGTCGTACATAGTTCCAGAAGTATATATATTTATATATAAATATACTTATTGGTATTTCTGCATGCATGAGCGCTACCAAGAAAACAACCACTCCTGATAAGGGCGCTATGGAGAGTGAAAAAAATTTAGAAAATGATCTACGCAATATTGTAGAAGGCGTAGGCCAACGTCAACAAATGCAAGAGAGTTCAGCTGCTTTTTTACGTAGTAACTATAGACATAAAATTGCAGATGTCTTTTTTGCTCTTTCCACCTATACATTTAGTGGTCTTTTACATGTACATGGTCAAAGTACAGCTCTCACAAGTCTTTCCCTGTGGGCAGCAGGAACGACATTTCTATTAAATATGCAAGTACGTAAAGTATTTGATTTACCAGATGAAACCAAACGCCGTCAAGTAGAAACAGAAATGAATTTACAAGAGAGAAATGTTTTTCAATTGGAGATGGTGGCTTCATGGGTGTGGATGCTTTCCTCTATGCAGCAGTTTAAATTACATAGACGCATGAAGTATTGTGGTTACAGCAGCTGGATGGGTTTGGGTACTTGTATGTACTTTACATTGCGGCATGCGTATAATGTTCTCCTACTGGAGTAAAAAAAAAAAAAAGGCCCGTAGTATTGAGAAAAGAAATAAGGAGAAAGAGGAAAAGAAAAGAAAACGAAAGAGACGATGGGGAAAAGTCTTCATGTTTTTTTGTTTTTTTTTTTTTTTATGTTTTTTTGATCTCTGTATTTCTTCTTCTTTGTTTTCACATTATTAACTGATAGTCTTTCATTTATATTTGGACTTCTTAACTCTTTTTGTTTTCTTGTCGTTTCTAAACCAATAGGCCTCTCTTGCCAGCATTCCTTTTTTTTTTTTTTTACTTGTACTCCACGTCTTTTATTTTATTTTTTGTGTTCTTTACTCTTTATTTGTTCTCTCTCTCTACAGCCAAACTCTCTTACACCCATAAAAGAGGAACAAAAAGAAAAAAAAACTAGGAAGGAGATATATTAGTGTTATTCTCTTTTTTTTTTTAACTTGTTTTTTTTTTTAGTTATCTTTAACGCATTATCTGTAAGTAATTGTAAATTGTAATTCTCTTTATATATATATATATATATATATATATATATATATATATATATATGTGTGTGTGTGTGTGTGTAGAGTGTTGTGTGTAATTAGCAGAAGAAAATGCCTTCCCGCCTGGCCGTAGAGGGAAAACGTGCATACGATGCGAATACCGAGACCGTTGGCTGCACTCGAGAACAGCAGGCAATGCAGGAACTCAAACGAGCCCTCGGATGGACACCAGCAACCGCAACAAACACAACAAATACAACAACAACAACAACAACAATGGCAGCAGCAGCAGCAGCTTCAGATGCTTTTCTACTTCGCTGCTTAACATCTGTGCATTTCTCCGTAACGGAGGCAATGGCTGTATTAAAACAAAGACGTTCCTTTGAAGAGCGGTTAACTTCTGTACGCATGACAGCCGTCGTCTTGGCACTTTTACGCAGTGGGACAATTTCAATCATTGGTCGTGATGTACTGGGAAGGCCAATATTATATATAAGCACTCAACACTTTACACAAGCCCCTCTAGACGCTCAAGATATACAGCGTCTTGTTATAGTAGTAATGGAATATATGTTGGCCTATTGTATGCAAATGTCAGCAACTACACCAACTGGAGGAAAAGGTAGTAGTGTATTATCACCACAACAGGCACCAGCATCACCAACACAACAACAACAACAACAACAATTTATTGTATTAATAAATGAAGAAAAATCATCATGGCATGCCAATCAATCTGTAATGGCTCATATAAGCGTTATTTGCAGTATCATAAGCAAATATTATCCTCGTCTTATTGGATTGGTACTATTATATGAAGCCTCATGGGAAGTACGACATGGAATCAAAGGGGCATTCTCAGGAAAACTTTCTGATACTATGCGTACTGTACAAATGGTTACTCATGCTGATATTCAAAAGTATGTGGATCGAGCAGTATTGCCCCATGAAATGGGTGGCCA